AGGGAAGGGGAGGTGGAGGGGAGGCCAAGTTGCTGCAGCCGCACTCAGTTCAGTTCTAGGCCTAGTGTTTGAGGAACCGAAGGGAACTTCAAACCTTGAATAAAAGTGAATAATTACCCGTCAAGGGGTCTAATCAGGGTCTAATTAGGGTTCCTTAATTGTAGAATTTTATCAATAATGATATTACAAGTTATAGTCCAGGATAGAAAAACAGTGATATCACTAAAATTGTGATTAACGGAGAAAACATGGTTTTGAGTTTAACCTTGTCCAGATAACGTTCAATAGTTTTTATCAGACAGGGTTTTATCAGACAGGGTTTTATCAGATAGGGGTTTTATCAGACAGGGTTTTATCAGATAGGGGTTTTATCAGATAGGGGTTTTATCAGACAGGGTTTTATCAGACAGGGTTTTATCAGACAGGGTTTTATCAGACAGGGTTTTTTAGACAGGGTTTTATCAGATAGGGTTTTATTTATAGGGATGTGTTCAACACATTTTTTATTCAAAAAGTAGCATTTGTTCCTTGTTACCAGAACATTTAATTTAATTTGTATTTGATATAAAACCAGAACGTTTTCAAGTAAAATTACGATCTATAAAAACAACATTTCTGATGTTTTTTTGTTATTATTTTCTTAATCAAACTATCTTTAGGGTTTTTTTATGGTTTTTTATGGCTTTTCTATAGGGATTTTCTATATGATTTTATGGCAATCTATTTATGGAATGCTTTTTTATGGTTAATGATTTTTGGGATAATATTTTGAAATGGTGAATGGTTTTTTTGAATGCCTTTTTTATTGTTCTTTATTTTCCTGTTATTCCTTCATGACGTTTTATATTTGTTCAAATCGATTTATTTTGGGGAAATGTTACTTTTTTTCTAATTAACCATTTTTGGTATTTTTTTAATTAATGTTTATTTTTTTTGTTGGGTGAATGAAAAAATATTTGTTTCTTCTCAGTATTTCTAACTGACTTTGACCAATTTCATGTTGAATCATTATTTGAGAACTTTTTCCGAAAACTGTTGGACGAATCAAACCTACCATTAAAAATGACCATGGTGAATATAGGTTTTCGATTATTATAATCATATTTTTTAGGGCAAAACTTCTGAGTTAGATCTCCGGCTTAGGAATTGTACGGACTTAGCCGGTGTCGTGCAGAAATTTCCCCCCCTACAATACCGGCTAAGCCTATAGGAATTCTACAGACTTAGCCGGTGTCGTGCATCAATTCTTCCCCCTGCAAAACTGGCTAAGTCTAGAAATTTTACAGACTTAGCCGGTGTCGTTTATCAATTCTTCTCCCTGCAAACCGGCTTTGAGCCTATGAATCCCTAGGCTTGCCGGATATCAATGTTGAATAGAGATAGTCCATGGCTTTTATCTCATCATTACTAACGATTTCCAAAACAAGGCTCAAACTTTGAAAACGGATTTTGTTCAACATTTTTTAAATTCTTTAATTTTCTTCTGAGAAAATTTACGCCTCATTGCAATTACCAGTAAAAAATTCTCCGACCTCACAACCCCACCCCTAACCCTCAAAACCCCTTTTGCTTCAGGGCAGTGCCAGAGAGAGTGTGAACATTTGATTGCTGTGTATTTTCCTTGTCTAAAGGGTTTTGTTCACAGCTGTTTCAGAAGATAATGCCATTAAATTTTTATAATAGATAGGAAAATTTGTTTCACTGAAAATGTTAAAAATATTTTTCTTTAAACCTTTATTCAAAATTCTTTACCGAATTTGTATATTTTTGCATAGAAATAAAGAACAAAAGAAAAAATGTCTATTTTTATCACGTTTTGATATTTTCCATCTGTTTTCATTTAAAACTTTTAAATATTACATATTCTACAGTGAAACCCTTAATAACGAATACATCGGAAGAATTTATCAAATGTCGTCTTGACAATTTTTCAATGAGTTTTATACTATATTACGTAAATTTCAGTATTTGCGAAAATAAATAAAAAGACATGAATATGCGGGAACAGTTTTAAAGAGCTCCAAATAATCATTAAATTAAAAAACTAAATATCTGCAACTTTCCATTATCAGAAAGTGAAGAATACGACATTTGATGAATTCTTTCGATGTATTC